CCTCAAGTGCTGAGATTACAGGCATGTGTCACCATGCCTGGCTAAACTTGTTTTGTAGTGCTGAGAATTGATCTTAGGGCCTCACACATGCTAGACAAGAGCTATATTCCAATACCATCCTCTCTCTCTCTCTCTCTCTCTCTCTCTCTCATTCTTGCTCTCGCTCTATGTATGTGTGTTATATAGACAATGTGTATGAATGCAGGCACATGTGGCCATGATGCATGTATGGAGGTCAGGGGATGACCTCTGGTGTAGATCTTTGCCTTCCACCCTGCTGAAGACAGGGTCTCTGTTATTTTCTGCTGTTCACACCGGGTAGCTGGCCCACAAGCTCCCAGAGATTTCCCCATGCCTGCCTCCCATCTTCCTGGAGGGGTGCTGGGATTAGACAATTGTATTCCTGCGTCTGGCTTTTATGTGGGTTCTAGGGAGTCAAACTCATGATTGTGGGTCAAAAGCTTTTACCCACTGAGTCATCTCCTCAGCTCCTAAACTGTTATTTTTTAAAAATATTTCTTTTTAAAAATATTTTATTTTTGTGTATGAGTGTACTGCCTGCATATATGTGTGCATCCCTGTTGTGCAATGCCCATGGTTGTCCACTGTCATGTGGGTGCAAGAACGGCCAGTGCTCTTAACTGCTGAGCCATCTCTCAAGCCCAATGACTGTTATTGTCAAAGAGCGATGATACAGGGTGAGGTGGCATGCCCTTGCAAAATCTGCACTTGATGCAGAAGAGGATCAATGCATGTTCCTGGTCAGCCTGGTCTATATAGTGAATTCCAGTCCAGCCAGTTACAGTGATGTCCTGCCTCAAGAAACCGGAAGCAAACAACAACAAAAGGGCAGTTAAGCCAGGTCACTGGTGACCTCAAAGCCACACTGGGGCTGGCGGGAAGTGGCAGACAGACAAGAGAAAGATAAACAGACACAGGTCTGGAGGCTCTGCTGGCAGCGTTGAGAAGGGGAAGTAGGGCTGGGGCTGTGTATTCTGCTAGCCCTGAGACACCATGATGGTTCTCAGCCTGCCTCACCAGTCTTTTCTCCAGACACTGGCCAGACTGGCTGACACTCATCTGGCCACTAAAATGTGCCCACCCAGAAAGGCTTCCCACACTGGCTCTACCTTGGAGACCTTCCTGGGGATGCCCATTCCACTGACCACTCTCATCTAAATACCCTCCTGCCACATGCAACGTAGCCATATTTATGGTTTCCACAAGCAACTTGCAAGTTTGGGAAATTGGGGGGTGGGAGACCACATTACTTCCCCAGCCAGTGAGGGAAGGGGACCCAGCAGGGTTGCAGGACATTTGCCTTGCATCCCTTTATGTATTTCCTTACTATGACAAAATACCTGACAAAATCAACCTAAGGGAGGACAGGTTTGTTCTGGTTCACAGTTTGAGGGGATACGGTCCATCATGCAGGGAGGGTGAGGCAGCTGGTCACATTGCATTCAGAGTCAGGAGGCAGAAAGAGATGCACACTGGTACTACCTTTGATTTCTCCCTCTCCACTCTATTGGGTCCAAGACCTTAACCCATGACATAGTATGGCCCACATTCAGGATAGGTCTTCCCTTCCTCAGTTAAATCTTTCTGGAAACTGCCTCAAAGACATACCAAGGGTATATCTCCTAGGTGATTTCAAATCCAGTCAAATTGACTGTGAAAACTGACGAGCACACCCCACACCCACACCCACTTTGGTCCCTACCTGCCAAAGCAGCAATTCCACAGCCCTTTGCCTAGTGCTTTGGAGATTTTCAGGAGCACTAAGGGATATGTGTTCCAGTCATGCTCCTGTCTCCATCTTCTTTCCCTCTTCTGACCATCTTCTGCTTCCCAGTAGGTGCAGGATCTACTGGGTCAGTTCATTATGTCAAATGGATCCGCTAGCAATGCAGCTTGGGATCTATTCCCTATCAACATGGGGAGGCCAAAGCTCATTTTCAGAGGACAACTTTGTTCCCGTGCTCATGTAGCCTTGTGGGGCTTAGCCTGGGCTATGTCCTCATAGAAGAACACGCCCTACTCAGCCTCCAGCCATGACCCCTGCCATGATCTACAACCTCTGATTTGTATCTAGTCTGCACAGGCTACCAATTCCCCAACTACAACCAGGAAAGTGATGCTTAATTGGGGACCTGATCTGGGGAGGAGATTGACGGGGGTCTAGGACCCAAAACTTTTCCAAGTCTGCAAAACTCACTGATTGACTGAATGACTGATTTCTGAGACAGGCTCAGTTTAGCCTGGAGTGTGCTATATAGCCAAGGCTGATCCAGAACTCCTGATCCTCCTGCTTCCACTTCCCAAGTGCTGGGATCACAGGCATGCGTTACCATGTCCACCTACCTGTGAACAAAAGCTCCCAGATAAAACCCTGCATCTTCAACTGAACCTCCTGCAAGGCTGATTAACTGATTAGAACTTCAGTGATTGTGAAGTTTGGAATGTTACAGGTCCAGAGCATAATTATAATTTATCTTGGGCTATCTTTAGCCCTCTAAATAACCATTCCTTGCCCACCTCTGTGTCTGACTTAACATCCTGTGACTAACAGATAAAAATCTTTTGGAATGTATTAACTTAGCAGACCACCAGCTTCCACCAACCCAAGGGCTTAGAAGCCTGTCAGATAGCATCTAAGGCCTAGAGCAGAATTCTCCCCACTTTGCTATAACTTGCCTCTCTGTTGTCTCCACCAATGTATTTGAAAAGCGCCTTGACTTATGGCCTTCTTTCTTCTGCGACCTTAACAATTTCATGAAACTGTTACCACGTTGGAACATGGACTTTTGGGTAACCTGAATCTGTGTTCCTGGGCCATTGCCACTCATTTTTGGCTCCAGAATAAACTCTTATCCTCTCTGAGGTGAGTGAGAGTTGCTCTTTTGAATTGACACACCAAACTCATTCATTTCGAATTCTGTCACAGCCACCAGCCACCATCCCTTGGAGGAAAACCCCATCTTCCTAATGCCCAAGTATGCCCACTCCTTCCATCTGGGCCAGAGCCAGCAAGTGAGAAATAGTTACAAATTCTTGGGGCTCAAAGTTTTCAGAAGGGCTCAACTTCTGAGGGGTTAAAGTGGGAGGGGCCTTCTATCCCATTTGTCTTTCTCCAGGAGAACACAGATGCACTAAAATAAAGGCAGTGAGTGAATGGTATTAGGTCTGTTGTTTTGTTTTTTGAGACAGTCTCTAGCCTGGGCTGGCCTTGAACTCCCCACATAGCCAAGGATGACCTTGAACTTCTAATCCTCCAGCTCCTACCTCCCAAAAGCTGAAATTACAGGCCTGTGCCACCACACCAGGTTAAGGTGATGCTTGATGAAACCCAGGGGGCCTTCTGCGTGCTAGGTAAGCACTCTACCAACTGAGCTACATCCCCAGCAGATGTCAAGTCTGTTAAGTGCTTCGCAGTTATATTTGTCTACAGGATTCCCAGGCACTCAGGAGCATGTGTTGGAAATGCTCACCCCCACAGTAAAGTCCTGCCCCTGGCACTTGATCCCTTGGTCACCCTCTCCTCTCCTGATAAAAGATTCCACTGCAGCCTCCACCTGCTGGGGTACCTGCAGCCTCTACCTGTTGGGGTACCGTTATCTCTAAGTAACTCCCAGGAACCCCCCCTCCCCTGTGTTTTTCACACAGCCTCCTGTAGCTTGAGTCTCCCGGAATGTCTGCCCTTCCCCAGCCCTCTCTTCAGAGCGTTTCTGTGAGTTGCCCTGTGAGGCCATGGCACCACAGACCACATTTGGCAAGATTTTAAAGGGGGCAGGGCTTGTTTGAGGGGCTTGCTCAGAATGAGACTGTAGGTCAGCTTCCCCATCTGCCAAGGACTGCCTGGGGGTGGGGGGAAAGAACAGGGGACAGGACTGAAGGTGGAGTTGGGGGCCGAGCAATAACCCAGCACAGGAGTCTCCGGGGACTGAGTCTGACCGTGTCCCTGAGCTCTACACTGGATGAAGGAAAGATGGAAAATGGCCCATAGAGACGCCCCTCCCACCTCACCGTCCCTGCCATGCCCAGTCTGGGACACATTCCCCAGGAGGGAACTGGCCATTTCCCAAGACTCAGGCACATCCTGGCTGGAGCTGGCAGAGGGCCGGGCACCCGCGGGCAGCCGGGCGGGGCGGGGTGTCCTGGAGAGCGGTGGAGGGCCTCACACCCAGGCTGGGCCAGGACACCCCGTCCTTGGCCGAGGCCCAAACCGGCTCTGTTTACAGAATCTGTCAGCCTGGTTCCCCTCCCCCACCCACCACTTCCCCTGGAGTCCTGGGGGCTGGGAAGGGACAGGCGGAGCCAGAGGGAGCCAGGCAGCCGCCTCCCCCCAACCCCCAACCCTGGACACCGTCTGCCTCCAGCACGCATTCTTCTGGCTTCGTCTTCCAAGCGTAGGGTGGCATTTCCAACTCTGGGGCAGGTGCATTTCCAGGGGGATGTGTAGAAAGAGCGCTTGCCCCAGAGGGAAGCTGAGTTAAGCGTTGCAAAGATAGGCTCTGTGCCCAGCGGTACCCGGGAGATTCCCAGGGGCCTCCGGGAATTCTCCAGAGAGCCGGGAATCAGGCTCCCTCTTTCCTCGGCGCCCCAAACCCGTGGGAGCATTTCCAGAACTATTGGAGGCACCTGGTGCAAGTTGGGTGTAGCCCGGAGGATAGGCCGGGGACTTTCAGGATTAGCGAGGTCCTGAGATAAGGCCAACCGGGTAGCGGGCCGTAGTGACTCAGCTCGCGCTGGCCGCCAGGAAGCTCCGAGGAGGAGAGGTGGCCGGGGCGGAGAGGGGCGTGGAGGGAGACGCCCCGCCCCTGCTCCGGGAAGGCCGGCCCACCACCCCCTGCTTCCCAGATGGGCCGCATTTCCCTTGGGTTTTCCCATCTGTATCAAGTACTAGGAAAGGCTGGCACTTGTTCACTACGCGCTAAGCAAAAACTTCACAAGTATTTTGATTACAGGCACCCACTGTCTACAGGAGGTACCGCTCTTACCTCCCTTTAGAGACAGGGAAACTCAAGCTAGTGCCTGTGTGGTCTGGGCTGCAGCTTCCAAACATCCAAAACTCCTCCTGACCCGTCTCTGTCCTGGATCCAGGTGCTTATGAGTGACCTCACTATTTTCTTCCTTGGCAAAACCAGGAACCCGGGCAACCCCTGACCCGGGGCGAACTTAGTACAAATATTTATTATTCCCAAGACCAGTGGCGTTACCTAAACATTTGCTGACTGTCCAACCTGGTGACTAAAGTGCTCTAGGCCCGAGTTTTCTCTTAACTCCTTCTCTGAAGGAATCTCCTGAGTGCTAGACTGGGTGCCCTAGATGCATTACCTCTGTACTGCCCAGCTCTGCCTTGCTCACAAATTAGCAGCAAGCCCATGGCACTCTGTTGTCACTGGCTGATCCCTGATCCTGTGGGGTCAAGGCCAGTAGCAGTGTCACAGAAAGGCTGGTAGTCCATACCTTTAATCCCAGCACTGGGGAGCAAAGGGGAGGCAGAGGTGGAGCACAGTGAGTTAAAGGACAGCCTGGTCTACATAGTTCAAGGTCAGCCAGGACTATGCAGTGAGACCTTGTCTTAAAAAATGAAAAAAGAAAGGGAGGAAAGAAACTCAATCTGAGTCCCAAGGGCTGGAGACTGGTGCCAAGGAGCAAGAAGCAAAGGGGAGTGCCCTGTGATAGTGACCCAAAGAAGGGGGAATAAGATGACCTTTGAGCCGGTCAGTGCTATGAGCCAGTGTCTGAGTGAAACTACTTCCAACAGCTGCAGGAATGGAAATTTTCCCAGACTCTCCCACTTCCTTCCTCTTTGACCTCTTTCTGCTGAGTCCTGTGATCTCAACTTCTGGAGGCTCAAAGAACAGTAGGAAGAAGATTGGCATGTCCCTGCCTCCGTGTGCCCCTCTGTCTCAATGACCCGTGTGTGGGGATCTGTGAGGCTCTGACTCAATGGGAAAATCAGAGGAAAGGAAGGAAGAGGAAATCTTAAGATGGGACCCTGCTCTGTGGTTTAGGTTCACAGGTCCCCAGTCTAGGTTCAAAGGACTTACCAGAAAGCTGTGACCGTAGGTTAAAAAAAAAAAAAAAAAATCACTTCATCCTCCAGGGACTCTGCAAAAAGAAAGCATTAACGTACCAAGCATCTTTCCTGGGAAGACTATTGGTTGCAGCATTGAGTGACATCTGTGAGTTCCAAGTATGATGAGGGCTGGTCCCTGGCTGGGTGGCCCAGCTCTGCAGCAGACATCATTCTTCCTGATTCTTTCTGAAGGAAGCATGTCCCCAAGGCAAGTTTGAGTAGAAGAGGAGGGAGAGAAGAAGGAACCTGAGCAGAGCATGAATGAATGGGTTTCCTGCCCTGGGAAGGGCTGAGGGAGCTTGTGTTCAAAGGTACTAAGTCCTGCTTCTGTGTTCAAGGCATGGCCCATACATGGTCCATGTATGTTGCCCATACATCGTCATATTCAGTTCTATCTGTAAGGCAGGTACTGCTATGACCTCCATTTGACAGATGCCAGCACTGGAGTTCAGTGACTTGGAAACAGCCAGTTTGGATGATTCTGGAACCCTGTTCTACTCAGACCTTTGTTTAGACCCCTGACCCGACATCCCCTTTCCCTACAGTTGTCTTAGAGGCTAGTGCCCAATGGTCACATTGGTCTGCTCTGTCCTCTAAGATCCCTGCTTGTCTAGCACCCTTCTTCTCCCTCTTTCAGCTGCACTTGACCAGCCAGAGTGGCTCTGGCCAACCAAGACAGGCTGGTATCATAGCTCTGCTGGACCTCAGACTGAGAGAGACCAGAGTTGCCAAGTACCTGGGTGGAGGCTCCAAATGATAGGAGATCAAGAACATGTGGAGTGAGGGACCTGGCACAGAAAAGAAGACTCCCCCCCCCAGTTAATTAAGATGGGTGCTCAGGCACCTGTGACCCACAGATGGATCTGGTTCCTTAAGGCTGAAGAAGGTTTTAGAGCTGGAAAGCTGAGGCTACTCCAAGTATTAGAAGATACTAGAAAACCCAAGGTCTTCTCTAAGTCTTTCCACATCCGTTACAGTCGTGATGTGGCCTTAGACATTGCCTGGTTGATATAACACATACCTCCTCGTTGTGGACCCTTCAGTTCAGTGGACTGATCCACTGGTTGTCCGGGGGATGGGGGGTGTCCCCTTGGTTAGAAGCCTTGTCATCTGTCACATCCATTCCTTCTTTTCTTTCCTTTCCTTTTTTTCTTTTTAACAGTTTCATGGATCCCAGGCTGGCCTCAAACTCACTACCGATGAGGATAAACTTGAATATCTGATCCTCGTGCTTCCACTTCCCGAGTGCTAGAATGACAACCACAAACCACTGTGCCTGGTTTATGCTGGAGATCAAACCCAAGGTTTTGAGCATGCCAGGGAAACACTATACCAACTGAGCTACAGCCTTGACTCCTGGTTTTGTTTTTTTGAGACTAGGTCCCCCTATGCATCCCAGGCTGGCCTTGAACTCTGATCCTCCTGCCTCAGCTTCCTAGTGCTGGGATTACAGGCGTGCACCACCATACCCAGCATCACTTTGTCTTTCTTTGGAAACAAATCACTCCTGACTTCAAAGCCTCATAATTCCCCCCAAAGAGCAATCTTGAGAATGTCAAGGGGAAATTATTGAATTATCCCAGTTGGCAGAGAAACTTAATTTATAGTGAAGCATTTCTCCTGAAGTTTTAATAGATTTTTTTCCCCTCCGATGGATTTTAATGCTCAATTGTTTCTTGAGCTTGGAAATTTCGTTTGAAGCACTAACATCACTTCTCTTTCTTGATTTATTACCAGTTCCTGGCTTCTGAGTCTGATAGGCAATCCAACAACCTATTTTCCTTTAAACATGAGAAGACTTCACTCTCTGGTTAGTCTGCCTGTCCAAACACATGTTGGCACTGCCATCTCATTAAAGCCTAGGAAGCTGGCCTTCCTTGTCTGGATCCCAGGGGAGTTCCCCTCCTTGAGAATTTTGCTGGCGCTGAACCTCAAGGCCCTTTCTGCAAGGATGCAGCTGGCCAATGGTGAGCTTAAGGGACAGACACACAGCTAACCCACTACCCTCCTCTCGAACCACTCCCTTCCTCCCAGATGATCAACAGGCCTCGTGTAAAGGAAGGTAATTGGGTGTCACATGAGCTAGACAGCTCAGCCTCCCATTAGCAAAGGGACATTTGTGTTGACATCTTTGCCTGGACTCTGGTCCCATGAAGTGGAACCATGTGGGCACAGCACATGGGATAGCAGGGTAAAGGTGCTATCTGGAGGTCTCCATTTAAGAGGCAGGGTCCCAGGCTGGAGAGATCACTCAGTGGTTAAGAGCACTGGCTGCTTTTTCAGAGGACCCAGGTTCGATTCCCAGTACCCACATAGTAGCTAACAACCATCCGTATCTCTAGTTCCAGGGGATCAAGGGTACTGCACAACACAGGTGCACTTACTTACATGCAGGCATAATACTCATACACATAAAATAAAAATAACAAGAATAAAAAATAAAAAAAGTGGAAGTATTTGGGAATAAAATAGACTTCTTTAGAGCTCTTAGGATAATGATACCATTTACAGAAGCAGCAATTGAGGCTCTGAGAGGGGAGTGGAAGCTCACAAGACTTTGGCACGGGGCTGAAGGGATGCAGACCCAGCTGCTTGAGTCTTTGGGGGCGTTTCTCAGTGCATGGGAAGTTCTCCCAGGCCCTGGCTAGCCTGACCCTGCAGGGCCCAGCTCCATGGGGAGAAATGGGGTCTCTCGGGCTCCCGAGGAGGCTGCCTGGCACTCAGCGACTGCAGGGCTTTGGGAACTCTTTCCTAAAGATCTCTTGTTTTCTCCTGCTTCCTCTTTGTTATCTACCTGGTGCTAGGAGTTCAACCCAGGACCTCATGCACATGATGTAAGCTTTCTACCCACTGATCTACTCTGCCCTATAGCTTGCTTTTGTTTTTGTTTTTTTGAGACAGGGTCTCCCTGTAGCCCCAGCTGGCCTGGAATTCATTATGTCAACCAGGCTGGCCTCGACCTCAAAGAGATCTGCCTGCCTCTGCCCCTAGAGCACTGGGATTAAAGGCGTGTGCCACCATGCCCAACTTTTTTTTTGGAAAGACAAGGTCACATGTAGCCCAGGCTGGCCTCAAACTTGCTATGTAGGGAAGGATGACCTTGAGCTGTTGTTCCTCCTGTCTCTACTTCCCACATGCTAGAATCATACTTGCATACCACCAGGCCCAGTTTCTTTGGGGTTTCTGATCATCTCTGAATTCCTGGCCACATCCATCCACATATGCAGAGCCCTTGGTGATTTAGGCCTCTTTCTCCCCGGAGATCCTGGCTACGGTGCCAGGGGAGGAATCACCTGGTTGGAGAAGGGAGCAGTGGACAAAAGCCAGGGGAGAGGAGCATATGTGATTCTAGTAGCTTCTTCCTTCAGCACTACGCCTTTCCCAGCCCTCTTTGTTGCTTGACCCCAATACTCAGGGAACTTGGGTTTCCTGTCATATGGCAGTACAAGGGACAAAGAGGAAAATAGCCAGACTCTAGCTGGGGATGTGGCTCAGTTGGGAGAGTGCCTATCTAACATGCGCAAAGCCCTGGCTTCATTCCTAGCACTGCATAAACCACGTATGAGGGTGCGTGGATGTGATACCAGTAACCAAGAGGTGGAGGCAGGAGGAAGTTCAAGGTCAGGGTCAATAAATGGCTCAGTGGGTAAGGGCGCTTGCTACCAAGCCTGAAGACCTGAGTTGGATCTCTAGGCCCCACACAGTAGAAGGAGAGACTTGACTCCTGAAGGCTGTCCTCTGATCTTCACAAATACTTCTAGACTTGTGGACATACCCCCACCCCAAGTATTAAATAAATGAAATTAAAAAAATTGAAGGGGCTAGAGAGATGGCTCAGTGGTTAAGAACACTGGTTGCCAGGTTCCCAGAACACACATAGTGGCTAACAACCATCAGTAACTCCAGTTCCAGAGCATTTGATGCCCTCTTCTGGCTTCCATGGGCATTGCACACATGTGGTGCACTTACATACATGCAGGCAAAACACTTGTAAAGTC